GAGCTGCAGTTTGGAACAGCAGGGTTGTGTGTGTGTGTGTGTGTTGTAGGGGTCTTCAGAGGAAATAAGGCCCAGGTCAAAGAATACCAGGAACTCCTTGAACCCATCATCTTTCAGTCTTATGAGGGTGAGTAACCACATAAAAGCCAACATGCACCCACACACATGCAGTGACCGCTGAATGAGGAAAACCGTGAACTCATGAAGACAAACATATATAATATTATCTCATCTGGCCTGTCAATATAGTTCTTTTTAATACTTTTGATTCTGTTCTCTCCCCTTCTGGCAGCGACAAACTTTCTCTTATTAAATCAGTTTTACATATTCATACACCACATACCAAGGTTCACAGGGGTGATGCATCCAAGTGAACTCAACCTTCCCTATGAGCAAAAGAGCCTGGCTCATACATTCACCGGTACACATTGATGTGAGAGGACACAGTTAAATGATGAGGATGTCAAGAGCTGGGTGTTTCTATTCATCTATTCATAAAAGAAATTGAAATAATTGGAGTGCAGAAAGGATAATGATGTGAAACAGAGCTGACTTAAGTTACCCTGAATGTCTCTGCAGAGCTCTTTGTACTGGTTCTGTATAAATTAACAAAACTCCTGAAGTTAATTGGCTGGGTTTTAGAGGAGAACACAAAGGGAGTGTTTTCTGTTTTACTGTTAAATACTTATTAAAAGTGTAAATCCACCAATGGATTTTGTACTGTCAGAAGCTGCTATTGTATCTTCTTTTGCTGGTTTGCCTGACCTCCCAGGAGTCAGGGGCTCCTATTGTTTTGATAATACATAAAACACATGCAGGGTTCAGCTATTGAAGACATGCTAATATATTGTGATGAGTGAGTGAGGACGGTGGTGGGGGTCCTCAACTACAGTTGTGCTAGCCTTGAAGTAAGCATTTATATTATTTATTTAGTATTAGTATTTATATTATACACTGCAGGTCTCAATGCTCAATTCCGATTTTTTTGATCAAATCTGATTTTTTTTTTGTCTGCTTGTCTACAAATAAAATGTGACAGCAAATGCACTCTAGTGTGAACCCTCAAAGCGGCCCGCATGCGCAAAAGAAGACGTCACACACAACGCGTTCTGTTTAGACCCAGACCAGACAGTATTGTTTGACTGATGGCCGTTAATATAAAGACTTGTTTCGGACTTTACGTTTCCCAATTTTGCTTTAAGTTATAAAGTTATTTTGTTATTTAGATATGGCCTAATAATTATCCTTATTGCTGTTTTAGAGAGGAGCAGTGCTTCAAAGGATAGCCGCAGATTTCTGTCAGAATCTGCAGATTATACAGTACAAATAAAATGTTCACGTTTCTCCAACGCTGTCTTCCCAACAGTTTCACTAACATCTACACTGGATGACCAGGAAGCATTCACGATGTCTTCTCCGGCGCTGATAATTGACGTCTGTCTTGTGTCAGTGACGTAAAAGACGGATTTAATGCGACATGACCATTCAAACAGCAGTCGCTTTCTAAAACATCAGATATGTATCGGATTCAGGACCACATACTAGAGTGACCCAGGTCGGATTTGAAAATATCGGATTTGTGTTGTTCACACTGTCATACCATGATCGGATATGGGCCGCATAGGGTCAGAAAAGTCGGATTTGATGCGCTTTCACCTGCAGTGTGAACGTAGCCTAAGAGTGGGCACAAAAAGATTTAGTGTTCTTAGCTGTAGGTCCAGTTGCAACCACTATGTGTGAAATATCCTGCTAAAGTGCTAAACTTAGATGGTTAACATGGTAAGCCCCATACTGCTAAAGAGAATTTTTAGTAGCATTAGCCAAGTTTTTGAATTAAGCTAAAAGTACAGGGGTGTCTCACGTAGCCATTTATAATTATCTGATTTTATTTATTTATTCATTTATTTGTTTTTTAATAATAACAAAATAAAATAAAACTTAGTTTGGGAACAAATTGAAAAATACGCTTTAAAGTTATTTGCCTATATCTCAGCTGTGCCTCAGGAGTTACAGCTGGTTGTCCACCAGTTGGAAGGTTGGTAGTTTAAATCCAGGCTCCTCCAGTCTGCAAAGTGTCCACAGGCAAGATAATGAACCCCAAATTGTTTCTAGTCCATCTAAATTCAAATACCAGGTTTTTTTTATTAAAGTCCAGGTACACACAAAGGCTTCAGTAGAAACTGCATAAGAGTCATGTGTTTAAACATGCTAAGATGTAAAGGTGATCTTAAGTACAGCAGTGGTTCAAAGGTTAAACTCAGCATCTGTACTGCTGTATGATTTGTTGCTATTATCCCTGTGTGCCACCAGTGCAAAGTTACTGAAGTACATAGTTTTTGTACTATGTAAGAAGTAAAGATTATTTTTTCTTAGTCTTATGCACATAGAGCTTACATTTCTCGTCTCTCGTGCCAGGTCACGCTATAATCCCCAAGTACTACTATGTACCGGCTGACTTTGTGGAGGCGGAGCAGAACAAGCATGGGAGCCAGAAGCGTTTCCCTAGCAACTCTGGCCGTGATGGGAAAGTCTTCCTGTGGGGTCAGGCCCTGTACAACATTGCCAAGCTACTGGGTATGTCTGTGCGTCTGTGTGCTCATTCACTGTACTCTGACATTAATCTGCAAGTTCACGATTAACTTAAAACTAATATGTTTTCAATAGTTTTTCATTATGATTTATTTTTTGTAACTGTAGCTTAATACGTGTCTCACAATAATCCAAGGACCAAGTGTTTATGTGGGGTTTGTTTTCATTAAGTCTTTATGCGTTTACACTTAGTTACTTGTCAATAGTCGTGCGTCAGTATCCCACAGTATTCCCTACATTTTAATGGTATTCATATCTACCTTTTGTGGTATGTTTGTGTACATTCACTTTTCAGTGGATGAGCTGATCAGTCCCAAAGATATTGATCCAATTCATCGCTATGTGCCACGACAGGACCAGCGCAATGTCAGTATGCGGTACTCCAACCAGGTAAGCTCTGATGTAACTCTATCTGACGGTCATCTGTCATCTACAGGCGTTTATTTTCAGTACAACATCGGATTCAAGTGCTGAAGTGTTGTAAACTTATACTACCCCCCTGTAAATATGGCTGAAATCAAAGCATTTAAGAGCTTTTAGCCTATGAAGTAATTGCATCTTACACATGATGACAATCATAATTGTTAGCTTATTCTAGATGTCAAGTAGCTGTAAGTGGAATTTTGCTGTAGATGCAGAAAGTGGGCAGCAAGTGGATTGCTCACTCTGCATTAAAAAAAAGAAAGAAAGAAAAGGACTTCTATATTTGTAATTTCTATCAACTGGGAGGGGAGTAAAAGGAGTGGAAATGTTAGCAGTTGTAATGAAAAATCAAAAGCTGATTGCTGATTGGAATACACTATATATAATAATAAGAATGTCTCCAGTGGTGATGGTGTTCTCTGCTAGCAGCTTCTCCTCTTGTTTAAAAGTCTACATTTATTCAAATTTGAAACAGATATTTCGATTTTATGATTCTTATCAGGCTTATATCTGGATTCTTTATATAAGCTGCTCCAGGGTTATTCCTGGCATTTTAGATCAACAAACACCTGCATCAGAGGTACATAAACAAAAAGGTGGTAGGTGGGTGGAGGTGGTATTTAAAAAGGCGAGGTGCTCACTAAAGCCACTCTTGTTCCATGCCCACGTATTCACTTTTCAAATCTGGCTGGATTTATATATATTTTTTTCCAAAACAATGACAATTGATGATACTGAACAAAACTATTGGGTGTAACTCAGACTAGCTAGAAACACAGTTCTTCACCGCACAGTGTTTAGAGTCTTTTTTTGACATGGTTTCAAAATGCAGATACTGTTCGTGCTCTGGAGTTTGCCTAGTCACATGTGTTACTGAAAACAAGATATCTAAACTGAGCCACACTGTTTCAGTATCAGCGATCTTAGAAATGACCAGGAAATTGTGGGAGAACCATAACTTATCAGAGTTCTACAGATCTTCACTTGCTGATGTTAAGTTTCATATTTCAGGAGGATTACATAAGCTATGACCTCACCTATTGTGCAGTTGCATGTGTCAGCCTCAAAGATGTACAGTAACCTCTCAATGCCAACTATACACCCACCCTTACTCCCGCAAGGCAATTCCCGCATCCAACCTTAAACCATTCACACTACTCAGTCCTGCTTACCACTGTTTGTTATTCATGTGTGGTAAGGTTTTAATTACTATTCATCCATCAACATCTAAACAAGCAGAAACTCTCATCTTATTTTACCTTGCCAAAGGCCAGGCTTGCAGACGAGGATTAAACCCAGTCAATTTTCTCCACAAACTACCTCCCTGAATAGCAATCATGTCTGAGGTTTAATTCTGTATCTGAGATGGCCGGCAGCTCTGTGGATCACACAGATGAAGGGTAGAGATACATACACACTGGAATGATTTTCATTTTCTTTGTTGTACAGCATCCTATTCTGTTGCTGTATGATGAATTGTGTTTTTGAAGCTAGGTCTATAAGACAGTACTAGAACAAGGCACACAAGAGAGGACATATCCTCAGAGGTATGATGAACACTAGACGGGATCAAATAGGTTGCCTGGAAAAAGATCAGCAGACAGAACAGACAGAGAGAAACAAACAGCGAGCCAGAAATGGAAAAGATCATGTCAGGAAAAAATCAGCAGAAAATCATTTGTGAAGTGAGAAAATTTTAGAGAGAAATATTTGGTTCTGAGACGAACACGTATATTTTTAACTTTGTGAGGCTCACAAACATTCTTCAACTCAAGGAGGGCCACACTTACTGAAAGTTTTGGACATTTGCAAGCTCTGTGAAGACGTAACTCATCTCTCTTAATTCTGAATAATTGTTAAAGAAGGAAGCTCCCACGCCCATTACACTCCGTTACAGTTTTTGTTTACAACTTGTCTTGCCAGCTAGCAACTGAACGCAGTTCAGAAGATAAGGGTTTGGTCTACATGTGTTCTTTTATTATGAAAACTGACCTGATGCTTTATGCTGTGTCATTGTGTCGTTCTGTTGACTTCATCAGGTTAAAGAGGTGGGAAGTCTGGGCTTCTCAGCCCTGACCCCACAACCCAAACTCAGGTACTGCTTTTAGCAGGTATCCAAAAAATTAGGCAGTGGTATGATAGCAAGCATTGGCTTTAGCAATTAGGATCAAGTCGAATCAGTTTCACCGGCCATTATATCAGGAGCCCAAAGGCGTTCTCCCAATGGAATTCAGGCATTAGTTCCAGCACAGGGCATTCAAGTACTGTGGGTGACAACACAGGTGTATAAAATGTATGTTATTTTCACTCTTTTCAAACACACCTTCAAGCAACAGCATAGGTACTCGGAGTCATTGATCTAAGTCTTGAGCGTTGCTGAACGACTGAAAGCAGATTACTTACTAAGCTCTCTATGATCTTTGCATTTTGGAACAACCGTTGATTTTTAGCTGGGATCAAACAGAGGATTTTAAATATGTGTGTTTGTATTTGTTAATAGGATATCTACATATCAGCATCTTGGATGCAGGGGGATTGTTCTCAAAAGGAAATCAGTATGAGTATGTTTAGCTGGCAGCACTGCTTTTATGAATTCAGTGTTTAAAGAAGTGTGCCTTGTGTGCTAGACTCCTGTTAGGAGTAGGAGTAATGCTCAGAAATGTTCTAACAATAATACTCTTGAAAGTTGATTTGTAGGCAGTGTGAAAGCTTGCTGTGAACCTGGCCTCTGATGGTAGCAGGCACGGCTCTGTGTGAAACCCATCAACAAAAGCCTATCGTATTGAGTTTGATGTTTTCAGTCTCACGCAGTCCAAATAAATGTGTGAATGGTCTTACTTCAACTTTAGTTCTGAGAAACCTGAAGGAAATTCTGGTGTTTTGTGACAATGATGACACACTCATTAAATCCTTTTATGGTTGAAAGAGAGGTTCGAGTTTTGCACAGTAAGGTCATTCAATAGCTGACAGCTTCCTACCTTAACGTAACCATTTAATTCAATGTGCTAATTTTCATCATAGAACTGCTTCCATAGGTGAGAAATACATGACCTCACCTGTGAGTAGTCACATAGGAATTTATAAAAGGTAATATAATAATAGACAATATTGCAGTGCCATCATACAGCAATCGTCATAAAATGATGATTGCTGTATGTACATCTGTATCTGAAGGTCAAATAGGAACTTTCTTTAGATCATGTACATTTTCAAGAAGAATTAGCTTTTAAAAAGGCTATAGCATGGGTATAGTCTCCAAGTGTCATAGTTTCCATTTCCCTGTGTGTGCTCGCGTCGACTTGGATCCAACTGATGGAAGTGGTGGAATATGGACATTTCCGAAAGCTGTGACCAAAGTTTACTGAGTGCCTGCCTAACAGTAGCTATTTAACACACAACTAGGTACACAGAGTACTTCATCACTCCTTGGACATTAATGTTTTTCATCTGATATTTTTTATGGTTTTGCTGTCGTTATCATCAAAAATACCTCGTCTTATCTGGTCTAAAGTAGCCATAAGTTGTGATATATACATTTCAAAGACAGATATAATGGACTCTTGAAGGCTGGCTTGTGATGAATATTAAAACTAATTTTGCTTAAAACGTGAAATAATGATATTAATGTTTATACTTGGCCCATTGGGGCTTATGAAAGGAAGCATGACTGACATATAATCACTGTTACAGCCCAAGCAGGCTGTGTGGGTTATCCTGCACTCTCTCTAAGTCGTGTGCCAGCCCTTGTTTCCTGTGGAGCCAATTTCCACTTAGTAATCAGCACTGGCTTAAAACTGGTGTGAGAAGTTTGCCAGCTCAAAGTGTGGGCCAGTGTTGAGCTACCAGTGAGTGGCTTTGTCCTCTTGTAAGCAAGAAGCGTTTTTGTATTTTTCTTTTTAGAATTTTTCATTTCAAGATGTTTTTCCTTTTTGTGCTTTTGTTTTAGGCCTTTGATTGGCATAGCCTAGCTATTTCCCATTTATTAAAATACTGTTTTATTTGTGAATCTGCTTTGTTTGACTTTTTCTTTAGTCAGATACTTTATGATAAGTATTCCTCCCTTCCTCCTCCCCACCCTTTTGTTGAGAACATAACATTTGGGCAAATGTTTTCAGACTTAGAAATTCGCAGAATTTTTAGATTAAAAAAAACAGTCACAGATTTAAGCTAATGTGACAAGCCTGGTAGAAAATAGTTGGTTACTTTTGCAGCTACACACTGAACATTTTAGGTGTACTTGCACTGTGAATGCCATTTGCTGTGATAAAGATTTGAAAGGAGACAGCAAACAGGGGTGTTGCAGGTGAAGCAGATGTTTTGCTCTTCTGTCTGCATATCAGTAAATATGAGAAATCTTTTCAAGCGGTACCACCTGAAAGCTTATGTGAAGAGGATTTTATTTTCCTGTAAGACAGGAATGCCAGGGTTGTTTATTCATGCAGCTGGTGCTAAGCTTAGCGTTTCTTGGGGTCAAATGGCCACAGAATTTGTAGACTTCATCCTCTATTACCATTTATCCTCCACTGCCTCTCACCTTTACTTTTTCTTTCTTATTGCTTTGTAATAAGTCTTGCTGGATCATAATCTTGTGTTCGTTTTGCTTCCCCCCCCCTTTTTAAAAAATTTCTTTTTTCTTTTTTTCCGCCAACTTAACAGCTTTCTCTCACTCACACCTTTGTATACTCAGTTTGAAGCTTAGGTATCATGTTGTGTCAGTAAAGAGGCCCAAGATGGGAAGAGGAAAAAAATATGAGTGAGGGGAGAGGAAAAGAAAGAATAAGAAATGTAGTGTATACTCTGTGTGTGTGTGTGTGTGTGTGTGTGTGTGTGTGTGTGTGTGTGTGTGTGTGTGTGTGTGTGTGTGTGTGTGTGTGTCAGAGAGTTGTATGTGTATACATGTATCAGCTGTCCAGTTGCTTCTGCATCACCAGCGTCTTGTGTTTGGTCTGCAGGCAGAAAAGACACAT